GAGGTCCCTCGTTGTCCTTGACTCTGGGAGCCAGCCTTACCCTGCTCTGCTGTGAGACCGCCCACTCCTGGGTTGTTCATGCACAGCCTCTGGCATGTAAGCTGCTCCTTGGATTGTGCAACCGAATGACACTAGCCAGTATCTCCAGTCCCAGACACAACCCAAGGAACCAGTGTCCAGTTATGCCTGCTGGATGCTGCAAGCTTATATGAGTTCGTCAATTTAAGAAAGAAATTGATATGTCCCAGGCTTGTTATCCCAAGGGGAATCTCTGACATGCTTCAAACCAAACGCACTGCTTCAGGTAGAATAAACAAACAGATTTATTAACTATAAAGACCAATTTTAAATGATTATAAGTCAAAGCATAACAAGTCAGATTTGGTCAAATAAAATAAAAGCAAAACGTATTCTACTGATCTTAACACTTATAATGCCCTTACAAACGAAGATGCTTCTCACCACAGGCTGGCTGGTTGCCCTTCAGCCAGGCTCTCCTCTTTGATCAGTGCTTCAGTTGCTTGGTGGTGTCTGCAGATGGAGGTGGAAGAGAGAGAGGAAGAGCCTGGCAAACATGTCTCCCTTTTACCGTGTCCTTTCTTCCCTCTTGGCTTTGCCCCCCCTCTTCAGAGTCAGGTGAATATTACCTCATCACAGTCCCAAACTGACCAAGGGAAGGGGGGTGACTCACTCGAGTGTCCAACAGATCCTTTGTTGTTGCCTAGGCCAGTGTCCTTTGTTCCTGTGAGGCTGGGCTGGGTTTGTCCCATATGTGCCCCGATGAGGTGTGAACTGCCCCTCTGCTCCTGGAGAGTTTTTGCTAGGGCTTGCTTTAAGTCATGAGGACATTTTCAGCCTCATAATTATATATATGAAATTACAACCTATAACATTACTATAACATTACCATAACAACAATGCTCAGTACATCATGAGCCTTCCAAAGACACCGGACATGACAAACTTTGCATTAGATCCCACACAATCCTATTATAAGGATGAACATGGGGGTGTCGGGTGTTCCCACGAGATATAGAACGTCACACTGGGTCTTTATGAAGTCATGTTGTTTTGTTAAAATACTGTCTTACCTTGGTGTGCAAACTGGAAGAAATGTTTGTAACCCCCCTTTCCTCCCTGGGTTACTCGGGAGCAGGCAACACTCACCTTGTCCCTGGGCTCCTGATGATGTTGACATTAAAGAAGATCCTGAGTATCCCAGTGGTGCTGTTGGATAGGTGGGAATCCTCTAGTCACCCCTCTGCTGCTGTCCCTTTACTCCTAAAGGAATTTAAAATTGGAGGTGTCTCCACCTGGCTGGCCCCTGTACACACTCAATGGCCTGCCTTGGGAACCTCCAGGAATAAAGCTATTCTAATAATAATAATATAATCTGTGGCAGGGGTGTAACTAAAAAATACCAATTATAAATAATATACATCCAATATACTTACGTTAGAATTAACACACCTTTACTTAACAACTTAAAAAATCAGGGTATAACCATCTAAGATTGTGTCACTGCTCATTTAAATCCACAGGGGTCAATTGAATAAAATCAATTAACAAATATGATATACAGGAATAAATGGAACTTATCTAACTGGCATTTACACGGCCACCATTCGCCCCACCCCAGAGTGTGCACTCCTCTGGATTGCAGCGTCCTAGGCACTTGCGTGGGTGCGCTGGAAGATCTGCAACTGGAGACAGCGCTCTGTTGGTTCTGTGTATCAGTCCGGCCAAGGCAACAAGCTGCACAACCCCGCTGACGACTCGAGCCGGCTCCACCAAATGTCAGCAGCTCTGGGATCCTGGTTCGGTGGGAAGATCACCTGCCTCTCCTCAGACTCAGTCTCTCTGCTGTGCCCCTTCCATTATGTAAGCAGGGGAATGGTCCCGCTATTGTGGGGAACTTTCCTGGCTTCTGCACTACCCCGGTGAAATGGGCTAGCGGAAGGATCTGAGTCCTCGCTCCCACTTCCTTTACCCAGAGGCCTCCCTGCCCTCGAGGACTCCCCTTGCACTCTCCTGTCTGGCAGAGTCCTCGTAAACCCCGACAAGGCTGGGCCCAGGATTCCTGGGGGGCTTGACCCCCAACCCTGCTGTGGTTACCTAGGTCAGGGGCTAGGGTGTCCCCACTCCGGGGTACTCTCTGCACTGGATGCTTTCCTGACTCACTGATCATTACATACGATTTAAAGCAATACAGTTTATTTAATTAACAATTAGTTTAAAAAGGAATAAGGAAAAATGGGAAAGGTTGAAGGAAACACGTCACCCCGCTCTGTGGCAGGGAACATCACAAACAGTGTCTCTGGAACGTCAGGGCAGTTCAGTCTGTTCTTGTAAATACCAGGCCTCTTCTCAGACCCTGGCCGTGCTGCAGAGACGCTGCGGGTCGGACACTTGCTCTGGCGGTGGCCACACGCTCTCAGGCTCTAGGTGGCAGGACCCTTCTTCCCAGCGTCGCCCCTGCCCGGTCGGGGTTATGATCCCCCCTCCAAGTCTGGCCTGCAGAGCCTCTTGGCTGAGGTGTCTCCCTGCGCTGGGCCCTCTGCCCAGGGTCCCCCTCCTCTCCCCAGCTGTTCCCCGCACCCAGCTCCACTCGGCCTCAGCCCGGCTGCTGCTGCTGCTCTGCCTCCAGCTCCCTGGGCTGCTTGTCTGGCCCCCCTGGCTCTGGTGGCTGCAGCTCCGCCCCCAGGGCAGCTCTGCTCTCTCTGGGCCGTGCTCTGGCTTTGGGGCTGCAGCTCTGCTCCCAGCAGCTCAGCTCGGGCCCCTGCTCTCTCCTTAGCTCGGCCCCACTCTGTCTGACTCAGGCCATTCCAGCTCACCCCAGGACGGGACCCCCCTGGCCTCCTGACTCCCTGATTAGCTGCCCGCCCTGTCAATCAGGCTGACTTGGAGCATTGGCCTCTCTCCATTGCCCCCAGGGACTGTCAGTCTCAGCTCCTGATTTCCCATCGACCCTTCCCCTTTTGGTACTGGGAGCTAGAAACCCAAATACCCCCACTGAATGTTAGTGAGGGGATAACAGTCCCCCTTACACTTGCAAGTACTTTCCCAAACCAGAGTGGGGGTTACTCACAGTTCCTTCACTGCAGGCCCACCTCAGTCAGCTCTAGGCACAGCAGCTGTCTCTGCCCTGGCTCCAGTGAAGCCACCAACAGCCTCTGAGGCTCCCTGCTCCATCAAAGCCCCTGCAGCAGCTCCTGGTATGGACAGAGCTCCACAGCAGCAATCTCACTCGTTTTCCCAAAATGGAGTCCACCGCCTGCTCCCCCTGCACGAGGAAGTCTCCCCCTCTTTCCCCAAGGCGTCATGGGAGTTGTAGTCTCTCAGGGTAGATTACAGGACACAGGCTTTTCCCCTGGAACACTCCCAATAAAGTTCAGAGGCCCCTCTAGTAAAGGGTGCCTACATGTTATTTGACCCAGGTACTTGATTTGCTTTTGTTTCCCCTTGCACTGGGAATCCATTTTAGCAAAGGAGTTACAGTACCAATCTTTAACATTAGTTCCTCGCCAGGGAATCTTCTTCTCATCCCGCATGTTCAGAACCATCCAGCAACTGGATGATTTAGCTGGGAATTGGTCCTGCTTTGAGCAGGGGGTTGGACTAGATGACCTCTTGAGGTCCCTTCCAACTCTGATATTCTATGATTCTATGATTCTATGAACTGGAGGAGCCAATGGGGGCCGGGCCTGCCTGCCTGTCCGGCTGGGGAGGCAGAGGGCATACGGGAGGAAGAAGAAGATCACTGAGGCTGGGAAGGCATTGCAGTGGGATTTGGCATGTTCAGAAATTCAAGTTTTCCTGAATGACCAACTAATGGCCATTTGGAGTGATCTCTAGCACCAGGCGTGGCGCACTACCCTTACAGGAATACCATCTGATCTGTGGCTATAGAGACATACTTGGAGATTTTCTGGGTGGAAGTGCGGACGTTCACAGTGCTCCTTCCAAGCATACGGACTGGTTGGAGGGGTGTGGGCTCCCACATACCGAATCCTGCTGGGTCCGTAGGGAGGATGCATGTGGGATTGGGTAATTCACCGAGACATTTGGGAAATTAGACT